TACAGTTTGCATAGCACTTACTTGTCAAAGTACTTTCCATTCATTGTCTCGGTTTATCCTCACAACAACCCTGTGAGGTAGGTAGGACAATTAACGCTATCCCCATTTTGCCGATGGGAACACTGAGGCACAGAGCGGTTAAGATCTCAAGGCTAGTTAGTAGAAGCATAGGGAATAGAAACCAGGTCTCCTAACTCCCCAGCCCATGTCTTCCTTTTTAGATTATGTTGCTATGCATGACCAGGAAGCGAAATGAAGCAAGCACTAAGCCACAGCTTCGGTACAGGCTGTGCCTATGAACGGGGACCAACCCCTCTACAAGCTAGAACAAAGCTAAGAAAGCGTGACGTAAGGCTTGGCAGCACTCGAATAAATAATCGCTCAGAACAGCTCGGCACCATGCTCCCTATGCAACTCGGGCTGTGTGAGCTTTGGCTGCTGCTAGCTTCTGTGCGCGCCTGGCTGCTGCTGCTGTCTGTGCATTAGCTTCAGCGGGACCTTTACCAACGCTGAGGACCTAAAATGTCGAGTCAGACAGGTTTTCTTTGGCTACTGTGGTAGGGAGCCGGCCTTACAAATGAGCGTATTACGGAGAATTCAGAGAGGGGCCCGTGGGCTGAAAGCCGGCTTTTCTGATCCTCCTGGCCTCACCGGCTCACCCAGTGGGTAGCAATTCTCCCGGAGCCAGGGGTGAATTAGAGAGGTAAGAGCAGGAGGCCGGCCTTGGTCAAACAGAGAAGAGTCACCGTGGCAACATCAATGTCATCCTTAGGTGACATGACCAGGATGCTATCTGGCAGGCCCAACTCCTTTCTGGCCTGTACCAGGTTAGCAGCATAGCTCCAAAAGACAGTTTAAGAGAACAAAATACTAAACACGTCGGGTTTTTAAATCTAGAATGAAATCAATTCTTAACCATTACATAGTCCCAAAGGACCAAATATATAATAAAAAATGTAAATATTTATTTAAAAGCTGAGTACTGAAAAGGCAGGGCAAAGGGCAAGAAAGGAGGGAGAAAGGGGCCACAGTAAAACGGAGAAGGGAAAATGAGCACTTTTGAAGGACCATGTGTTCTGAGGTCACACCCAATGTGACCAGACTGATCATTCCCACCCTGATGAAACCATCTCGGGCCACCCCCTTGTCCCCATGTTGCCAGATGGCGTTTCACTCACCAAATCCTAGGCTGCCTCTGACTTTCAACAGATTTGGACTAGTAGAAAATCAGGTTTAGCAATCAATTCTTCATATGTCTGCCTTGAGACGCTAAAACCCTCAATGCTCTCAAGAAACAGCTGTGGCTTTGGCCCCGACGGCAGAGCAGAACCCCATGTGGCCCAGCAGCTCAGAAGTGTCTTCCATTCTCTGTCCTCAGAAAGACGCCGTCCCTCCCCCAAGGTCCACATTCAAAACAACATGCTTGTTAACAACTGAGAAAAAAATGAATCTGGGGATAGGGAGAGGGGTAACAGGGGAAAAAAAGAGGGGGGAGGAAGAGGAGAGAGAAAGAGAGGCAGAGATCGCTTTTTTTAAACCCTCCTATTTTTACACCATCATATGCCATTTCTGCTTTTAAAGAGGCCAAACTTTAGGCAAGGCATTCATTTAGTGAGTGCACACAGAGGCTGAAGACCCTTTGGCAGGAACTGAGAGGTAGGAATTTATGACTGTGGGACTGGGCAGGGGGACCTGTGGGGTCCCATCCAAGAAACACAAACTCTGCACATCACAGACTTTCTTTCTTGGGTGAGTTGGCAAAATCGGACTACACAGTGGAAAAATCGATTCTGTTCCCTACATCGCTTCAAAACTTTGCCCAGATCCAGATGTTCAGAAGTGAGACTGTGGCCAGCAAACATTTGTGGAGTAACGTGAAGTTGCTAAGACCTACTATTCCAAGAACTTCTCTCCTCGGAGTGAACGACCAAAACTGAGGCAGAGCAAAGGGTCGCCCGGGGACCACTACATTAATTTCCCTGCAAGTTTACACGGCTCCTGAGCTCTGATCCGAGAAGCCCTCTCTGTTTTTCTTTTTAATACACAAGAAGTACATTCTCGGGAGGCTACAATATAGATTTTTTTTAAATGTCTTGCTATCAAAATTCAAGACAGTCTACCTAAAGCTTCTCATTTAGGCAATGGCATGTGGTCGCTGGCCCCCTTCCTGAGCAGATGTCTGGTCTCGGGTCAGCCCTCCCCATCCAAGCAGACTGCCTCCAGCAAAACATGGCTCAGAGCCTCTCCTCTACTTGCAAAACCTGGTCTCTGAAAGACTACTTGACTTATTCTCTACCCAGGCACATGAACAAACAGTTTATAAAGGCCAGGTTGTATGGCTTGGGGCATAGGACGGCCTTCCTACCACCATCTTGCAAGAACTCATATACTTTCTTACTAGGGTTTTTCCACTGCCGCATCTTCCAATTCTCTCTCCAGAGGGAGCCCAGGCAAACCCAGAGGTGGTTTAAGAAAAAAAAAATCAAGGTTTTAGGACACTTAAGTTCAGACCACAT